TCATGTAGGTAGGGGGGGGAGGGTTGAGGGGCGCATCCTGAGGGTGGGGGCTGTTGTTTGGGGGGTGGCCATGCGGCGGCATTATGAAGGTGCGGTCTGTTTTCTGAGGGGTGCTTACGCCGTGTGCATCGATGTGCGCACCTGCACAGCAACCACCCGTGCAGCTGGCCTGCGTGGCGACCCCCAGGGGTGCAACTGCGAGGGTTCAATGCGAAGCTGCGTCCAACGGATAATGACTGCATGGGCGCCTCCTGAAACTCCCCCGCCCAACCTTGTGGGACCCGCACCCTGCTCCTCTCACGCCCGCCCCGATCCGCGCCGCGCCCCCTGCAGATGGCGCTCTACGCGTCGCCAAACTGCCTGCAGCCCCAGTACACTACCGCGGCCGGCGACAAGTTCGGCTGGGCCAACGGCGCGGAGTCCCGCTGCATGCCTGTCACATGGCTCTTCAACAATTACGACTACCAGTTCCCCGATTCGACGTTCAAGGCCGGCTGGCAGGACGCGGTCTGCTACCCTTCAAGCTGCAACGACCAGGGTGCGTGTGCTGTGTGTGTATGTGTGTGTGTGTGCGTGTGTGTGTGTGCGTGTGCGTGCGTGCGTGGGGGTATTCGCGCACGCGCGCACGCGCGCGCGTGCGTGCGTGCGTGTGTGCGTGTGTGTGTGTGTGTGTGTGTGTGTGTGTGTGTGTGAGTTGTGTTCTCCAAGTGCGCTGTCTTGCCCTCTCCTGCCGTGCCCCTTGGTTGAAGTGTTGGGACGGTGACATCACAGTCGCACCCCAACGGCTTCACAGCAAAGCTTGCCCTATGCCTTTTTCGCTGGCCAACGCCACCTCCGTCTCCCGCCATCCCTCGTGCTTTGCAATGAGCCCCATCCGTCTATCACTGCGATTACGTTGCTGCCGCCCCACATGTCCCCAGGTGTCCTGCAGCTGAAGATGCTGGGCCAGACGGTCGACTGCCCCACAGGTGGGGGCCTGCACAACAAAACACCCATTGTCTGGCCCTCCCTGTCACCCAACCCACCACCTGACTCCCCAGCAGTCTGCTCACCGCCAAGGATGTCACCCGACTACCGTGCACCTCAAGCCAACACATCCCTTGTCTTTGCTTGACCATCCATCTTCATTTATCAGGCAAGACTGTGGATCTGTCCCAGGCCCTGCCGTCCAAGTTCAAGCAGGGCTCCATCGGGCCCTGCCCCGACAACGCCGCGACCTGCGCGAGCCTCGCATGCGGGCCCAGCTGCGCCGTTGGCGGCGTGTGCGTCAGCGGCAAGTGCCACTGCAACCTGCAGTACATTGGTGGGTGTCGCGCGCATGGTGGGCCTCAGTATGCCCCGATGACAGCAGAATGATCTCGCATCGCAGCCGAGTGACATGCGAGCGAAGTGGCTGCGAACACCTGGCTTCTGCAGCGCGGCACACCGCCGCCTAGAAGCACGCCGCGCCGCTGTTGCGCCTGGCGCACCGGACATGCCCTCTCCCGCGCCCCGACGCGTCTTGCCTCTCTTTCACGCCCCTCCCAACCAGGGGACACGTGCGAGAAGCGGCTGACACCCTCTGGCTCGTACGCCAATTACGACCCGCGGCCGGGCGCCGCAGCTGCGCCGGGCCAGACTCAGATGTCCGGTTACCTCATGGTGCGCTGCTGCTGTGTGTGTTGGTGTGTGTGTAGTGTGTGCTTGGGTGTTTGCGTGTATGAATGTGTGTGCGCGTGGGCGTGTGCGCGCACACACACTCGTACACATTCATACATATATACACATCCATACATAGTTGCTTGGGTGTTTGTATGTCTGTGCGCTCGCTGGGCAGATGCAGAGATTGGGGCGTTGCAATACATGTCAAGCGGCAAGGGGCAGCCTTTGTGTGTGCGGGGTCAGGAGCAGGGGCGCCGTTCCCAAGGTGTCCCAGAGGTTTGATTCGGCGGCTTTGCTCGTTCACACTTCGACGGCCATTCTTCACTCCTTGACGCCCGTCATTGCAAGCCGGATGCAGCTTGAATCCTTGAGGCTCACAACGTGTCCCCCCCCCTTCGCCGCGGACGTGCGTCTCACCCCAATCCCCGCGCTCCGCCCGCCCCCCAAAACGTAGCTGTCTGCCGAGCTCAGGAATGGGCAGGACCAGCTGCTGTCAGGCCTCGACAAATACAAGAACGCGGTCGCGCAGCTCGCCGGCGTCACCACCGCCCGCGTGGCCGTCCTGTCGTTCGCCGCCAACCGGCCCGCCTCGAGCATCCTGGGGGCGCCCGCCGGCGCTGACAAGAAAGATAACCTCTCGCGGCGGCGCCGCATGCTGGCAGAGGGAGGCGGCGAGGGCGGCGGCGCGGGCGTTAGTGCGGCGGAGGCGGCAGAGGAAGATGATGATGCGATCGCCAGCGCCGCGTCTGGCGGCATGCTGCAGGCGGCCTGGGGCGGCGGCGGGCTGCTGCTGAGC